ATAGTGCTGTGTTCATCAGCCTATTGATGAGAATAATATATATGAGTGAGAGAGAGAGAATAAAAGGCACTATCGGGAACCAGAGTTCTATTGTCCCGATGTTTCGCAAGCAGACAAGCTTCCATAGTCAGAGGTGATGGCATTTATAGTTGATACGGGATTACCATAGAAAAGAAAGGGGGCATAGTCGGGAAGGAATCCCTAATCATCGTACTACTTCATGCAGGGGAGGAAACTGGCAGATTAACCCCAGGCTAGGGGCCTCCCGCCGGGGTTGGTGTTTGCAGGTGTGTAGCTATCTCCAGTATTCATGTAGCGCTTCAAAAAAAGCTACAGAATAAGAAGAAGACGGGGTGGAATACTGCATGGAAAGGTCATCGGGATCCGAATGGGAATAAGTCAGACCCGCCCGAAAGCAATTGCCAGTGCGAAATGAAATTTTAGCGACAGTTGAGGTAGCCTCAATTCTAGCAGTCAAATACTGCAAACAGAATGTATCGCTATAGACCTAAACATTTTCCAGGACTTTTTAATGAAATTTTACAGCCATCGGAGGAAATCTCCATTCGAAAGGCATTTCATCTCGAAATTTGTCTACACGTCACGCAGCAGACAAGAACGCGACCATTCAAAAGCGTTTCCGATAGAGAAGAGCAGGCAAACCTTCTCCTTTCCGGGCATTTTCGACTTCCCAAAAGGTATTGTTTTTTTTAACCGGATTACTCGCCTGCCAAGAAGGTGAAAGGTCGCGAAATAGTCTTAGGATTGAGAACACGACAAACTGATAGTGAACAGAACCTAGTAATTCAGAAAGACCAGATAGTTAAATGACATGTTGCACCCTCCTGAATCAGACTGGTTCAAATAACAGCATAGCCTCTCCACTAGACTGTGTCGGGGTTATATACGGTTCTGGCACAAACTCCACTTTGACATTTATGTATACTAACCCGCAAAAATGAGTGAACTGAGTGACCTCTTTAGAGACATTATTTAAAAAACAAAAACATAGTTGTCCTAACTGATTGACCGTAGGGTGCTTGGGATATCTGAATTTTAACTGTCCCGCACACAGAGAGACAACCGAAGGGGTGGAAACATAACAATATTTTTAACGAACAGGTTACATTTTTCAGAAAAACTGCTAAGATGACTTGACCGGAAACAGTATGGTTGACCGTAAGAGCGACGGCTTCCCAAGGTCTCGATATGTGGACGGTGACCTGAGCCCGATAAACAACTCTGAAGGTGATGCCCTATTGCTGGATAGGCTTAAAGCTTTTGCTACTCATATATTTGGGGACATTAATGCGCCTAGCGCTGACTGAAAATCAGTCTCCGCTGGTTGCTCTGAAACTGCATTCGACCAGCAGCTTCTGCATATAACTGCAATTTTGGTTCTTATCGAACCCGTCACTTATCCGACCGTGACCACTGAAGCCGACTTTATTCCCACACTTATGAAGTTAAAGTGGTAGCTTTTACTGACACAATCCTCTTAATCGAAGAAATAACTCATGCAGAGTTGCTCAACTTGAAAGAATCGACCTCCCCAGGCCCCTATGCAATCCCGGTCAAACTGCTGAAGACGCTAATTTATGCAATGGTCAAGGCGCTAGTCTTACTACTTCAAGCGTCATTTGATAATCGGTGCTACCCTCTGGTTGGAAGTCTGCAACGTGCACTCCGTTGTTAAAGAGTGGAAGTCGAGCATCTGCAAATACTTACAGGCTTTTTTGTCTTACCTACATTTTTGGCATAATTTGCGCAGCGTGGGCGTTCGCGGAGACCTCGTCCTATGGATTTAACACTTTTGAACGAACGGCCTCGAAGAGTACACATCGGACGCTAGCAAACCCTAGGAGTTCCCATAGTGAGTGGCGCCCACACGGCTCAGTTTTACGTCCCTCATTATTCTCCGTTTTCATCAACCAGTGTGTCAGAGAACTGGGTTTGGATGTCACCATGCTCGCTGACGTTACAAAATTGAGGAAGGATGTTCAAAGTACGGCAGACGAGAACCATTTGCGAACAATCTTCAACAGACGAAATGCCTGATCAAAGCAGTAGCTTATGCCCTTCAATGTTAGTAAGTGCAACTTTCTTCAAATGAGCAGTTGTACAGCCTCAAAACCCAAGATCTACTGCTTAAGTAGTACGCTGCTGCAACAAGTTAACAGCCAGAAGTGTTTGGCATGTTACATGGGCCAGTGCAGGACACCTGTGCGCGTGAACAGGCGGATGTTTAAGTAGATGTTTGCAAGCGGATGAGGAGATAGACCGAGAGAGTTTGTTGGTGGACGTTGTTG